GGGAGAGTCTGGAGGTCAGAGAAAACGTGCTGAAGGAATGCTGCCTGCCTGAGCATAGTGATTTTGCTTTCCCTGCACATTGGACCCAGACCAGCTCATTGTGAGGTTAAGGAGGGTGAGGTGCCTTCCTTACCATGGGGGGTCACCTGGGCTGGAAGATCCTGTTAATTGTGGGACCATTGCCTTTGTGTTGCTGGTGCGTTTCACTTCTCACACCTGATGTTACAACTACTAGTGGTGAATTAAACTCAGAAATTAATTAAACATTTTCTTTTCATACATGCCATATTAGTTTTCACAGGAGCCATTTCCAGTCAGCAGAATTTGTGTCTTCAGAAGTTCTTTTACTCTGGGCCTCTCTGCAGGGCAGCACTGCTTGTTTCTCTTTATCAAGGAGTAACTCTAGGCAGTTTTTAAAGACTATGAACCTAAGCTTTTAAATGTTATTGTCTGGAGAGCTACTGCAGCCACTGCAGAAGCAAGTCCTGTTGCAGTGAACGCAGTGAGGGTAGGGGCATGCAGCTTACCTGGGGGGATTCCTTCTCTCACCATAGCACAAGGTGAGTGTCATGTCCCTCTTTGGGGAACAAAAAAACAGTAGGGCCCACATGGAGATTCTTCTGCTTCTCACCTTCCACCATATGTGTTTTTGAGGGAGAAAGGGCAAAAAAAGTCACTTCAGGACTGTCCAATTTCTGCAGCCTCAAGAACAGCCAAAGTAGAAACTTTCCAGCAGTTGGAGCTTTCCAGTTTGCAGAGGACAGACTGCCCTGGGATCAGTTGCTGTTTCTCTGATCCTCTCTGTTCTGCAGTTTTTCATCTCTCTGTATCTTGATCCTATCTGCCCTTCTATCTCCTTTTTCCTATCTCTCTACTTCTTCCTTCAGTATCCTTTCTGTGTTTTTTCTATCCATGGTTTATCTCAAACTGAATTGTTTTGTGACACTCAGTAAGGAGCAGCACTGTTACATATTCTGTTGCCAATGAGCTTTTCTGTGCTTTCCCTGTTCTCTTGCATTTGAGATCCTTAGCCCCTGGGACAGAGGCTTTCCACCACTCTGGATTGGTACAATACCTGTTACAGTGGCACCTGCTTTTAGTGTCTAATAACATGATTAATACAGCTGGTACAAATAAATTATTAATCTGCACTTTGAGGTTTCTAAATCAGGGTGATTTTTCCTGCAATCATTCTCTTCTTCATGAAGAATTAAATGAATGCAATAAATGCAAACATACGTAAAGTCGAGTGTCCTAGGTGTTCATCCTGAGAAATATGCAGGTTAATTCAATATGTGTCTCTACATGTTTCTGGCATCATGGTGTGTAGGTAGCTTGAAGAGCTGCATGAAGAAGTGATATGAGATGTGTGTTTTTTGGAGATCACTGGTATGCCTTGTGTTTTTACTAGGAGATCAGCATCTCCCCCCAGGAGATTGAGCAATAAAGAATGTAGAGATGGCTTGTGATCTGCCTGGCAGCACTAAGCATTAACCTCAAGACAAGACACTGGGAGCCAGTTTTTTAATTCCTGAGTCTTCTGCTTATTCAGCATCTTTCCTTTGTCCAGTGACAGTCTCCTCTTGTCAGTTCACTGCTGAACTGTGGATCTGTCAGAGGAGGCAGTGTTGCTGAAGTGACATCTCTCAGTCCCTGGAGAATTGTGTCCCACAGGTGCTGTGAAATTTGTGTGACACATGGCAGCCAACCCCACCGAGGGACTTGGCAGTGTGGAAACATGTAAATGCACATACTGTGGAAGGCTGTGTGGGAACTGCAGCATTTTGTCTTGCAGTTGACACTTCACCATTTCCTTGCTTTACAAATGTGTTGAAGATGTTCACGCTTCATGAATACCAAACACAAGGGTTTTCTTTTTTTCCCCCCATGATCAATACGAAGATCTCAGTAGAACCCATAATCACAAATCTTTCTTAAGTGCTTTAACCGCTCCCTTCCCCCTCCTCAAAGCTACTGGCTGGTATGGCAGTAATTGAGGCAATCACAGTGTAAAAATAAATCATTGCCAAGGATTAGCCGTTACCTGCTGGTGTGGGATCTAATGGTGCAGAACCACTGGTTCTTTTGTCAATAACACTGTGTTTCAAAGTTCTGGTCTCCAATTTTCTCCAGGATCAAATTGAAAAGGCATCTCTGCCAAGTGAATTCCAGCTGTTAATCAGTGAATATCCCAGGAGGCCAGTTGCTAAAAACATGCCGCAGGGACAAGATATATTTTGAGAGATGGAAGAATAGCAGAGGTGTATGAGAGTAGCTGATGCAGAAAGGTGCTTTTTGGCCTTCATAGCAATGGAATTCCTCATAGCAGATGAGAAGGAGCTGCACCATGTGCAAAGCCTGGCCCTGGTGCGTGTGTTGGTCAGTAAGAACCTGGCTATACAGAGCCAGGATTGAATCCAAGCTCTTCATGCTTCTCTGCCCCAGGCTGCCTGTGGGTTCAGGACAATAGCTCTGAAGATGGTCAGGTTGGGGAGGAATTCTGCATAGTTAAAACAAATTAAACAGCTGAACTTCATCTAATCACTGAGGAGCTGTCCATTCACATTTTGGGAAATGAGGAAGGAGACTTGAATTCTTTTCCTTCCTTAATGTCTGTTGATTCTCACTGCAGTGGCAGCTGGTTGCTGGTTTTGCTTTCACTGGGTGAATCCCAGCTGTGATTGCAGGTGCTGCTCCACTAGCTCAGATCCAAGTGGGGCCTTGTGAGCAGGCAGCCCATGTTGAAGTGCTTCACAGCAGTGGGTATAAATGAATGCTAAATCAGTTCCCTGGTAAATGCTGGAACCATGTGAGCGCACTGAGTCCCTCTGAGCTGCCAAACCTTCTGTCAAGCCAGAAGTTAAGTTGTTGTAAGTCTGTGTTCCATTTTCTTTCCATAACTTGCAGTGTGTCCTGTAGGAGTATATGACTCCAGCCAGGCGTGAAGCTTGCAGTTGAAAGCCAGGGTGTTGGAGAGGCTGGGTAATGGGCGGTGTGATTGTGACTCTGGTCACACTGAAATGGGAAGAATCTGGGCATGTCTCCACCTGTGTGTTTGTCCTCCTCCAGAGGGAAGGGGGTTATGGAAAGCCTGGTAGAGGCACTGCTGAATTTGTTTTCTGGATGTGAGTGTCAAGGTTGGTGAGAAGGCAGAAGTCCCCCTGTGCCAAGTGTGTATGGATGCCGTAGGAGCAGGAGTGCCTGGCCCTGTGTGCTGACTGGCAGCTGGTGTGTTGAGGTGTGGCTGGGAATGCTGCAGTGAAGGTAGCACAGCCAGGAGGGTGAGTGAGATGATTCTGTCCTGCTGCTCTGCTCTCTGAGACCCCACCTGGGATGCAGTGTCCAGCTCTAGTGTCCTCAGCACAGGAAGGACATGGACATGCTGGATGGAGCCAGTGCAGGGGAGGCCATGAAAGTGTTCAGAGGGATGAACCTTTCCATGAAGACATGCTGAGAGGACTGGAGAAGAGAAGGTTAGATTGGTGGGTAGATTATTGCAGCTTTTCAGTACTTAAAAGGGAGTTATGAGAAAGCTGAGGAAAAAATTTTAGCAGAGCTTGTTACAACAGGATGAAGGATAATGGTTTTAACTAGGAGAGTTGATACAGATTGTATATGATAAATAAGTTTTAAACAATGAGAGTGGTGAGGCGTTTGAACTGGGTGGATGACCCCTCCCTGGAGACATTCAGGGCCAGGTTGGATGGAGCTCTGAGCAACCTGACCTTGTTGAAGATATGTCTGCTCATTTCAGGGGAGTTGTGCTAGATGAGCTTTAAAGGTCCCCCCACAACTGAAACAATGATTTGAGTCTGTGAATTGCAGATTCTGTTTGGGCTGGAGGTTTTTTTGGGTTGTGGTTTTTTTTTTCCCCACTCCCTCTCTCCACATCTTCCACACTTTTTATCTGTGCCTTTAAAGAAGTAAGGATGCTTCTAGGTAGGTTTTTATCCACTTGCTCTGACTGGCACCACTGAATGTCACATATTCCTAGACTGGGGCACAAGCTCTTAGCTGTGATGAGGTCTGGAGAAAGCAGCTGAAAGTCCTTGTGCAGGCAGAGGAGTGGGGAGGAGGGAACCCATTAGAGTACAACAGAGAGAACTGGAGTGAATCTTCATGCTGATGAGTACGAGAGTGGAAGCCCTGACTGCTGCTGCAGTGTAATCTGGCTGAGCAAGTGTTCTCCAGGCACAGTCAGAACTCATCTGTGCCGAGCACTGACATGGCCTATTCCCATGATGAATATTTACCTCAGCAGTGGAGCTCATGAGTAATATCCCAACTGGAGCAGTTGCAAACTCTATCCCAGAGTATTTTCTGTCCTACCATTTATCTTCACAGCAGCACCTGACAAGCAGAAGGAAGGCTGAGGAAATGCTCCAGCTGCAGTTTGGTGGGGTTTTTTTCCCACAGTTATTTTACTTTCAATTTTAGATTTCTTACATCTGCTTCTAGGTCCACCTAGAAGGGAAAGGGAGTGGTGCAGATTGGTGCAGCTAGTGAGAGAAATGAGTCAGAAGAGTAGGAGTGACCAGTATTTGCTGCTGTGTTTGGGACAGTGACATAAGTTATCTCTAATGATCTAAACTGGGGATGAGGACTGAAGTCATTATATATGAATTCAAAATGTAGTGATTGTAGTGATGGATGACTACGAGTCAGCCAGATACAACATTTTAAACAGAGTGATGGCCAGGTTTGCTGTCGCTCTGCTGGAGCACAGAGCAATTTGCAGCCTGTTCCCAGCCAAAGCAGCAAGCACAGGCCAGTGTCTGCTGGGACAAATGCACCCATGTGTAGGACAGTGCCTGTGCTTGCAGCTTCCAGCAAGCTTGAGTCAGGATCTGCACTGGCCTCAGCAGGGAGTGTGCCTTCAGCACTTTGTGGTGAGGGAGGAATTTCTTGCAGGGCACCTACTTCCCTACTACTTGTAGGGAATTTCTGCTGCATCTCTAAGCTGTTCTGAGACCTCTGAAAATTTCCCTCCTTTGTTTCAGAGCCATCATCAATCACTTCAACCCGAAGATAGAATCTTATGCTGCAGTGAATCACATATCACAGCTCTCCGAGGATCAGGTAAGCCAGGCATGCCATGGCCTTTTCTCAGGTTGACCTCTGGAATATGGGTGTTCAGGGGTACCTTGTGCTCCCTGGGACTGATGATGTGGCAGCAGTAGGAGTTGCACGTGGGAGTCTCATGTCCTTGTTCAGATGCAAGTGAGAGAAAGAAAAGCAAGAATTGCTTTAGCCAATTTTACCACCACATACAGAGATTTTGGTCCCACATATGTAAAAGGATGGGTACAAACAAGAAAAATATTCAGCGTTGTCAGCAAGTGTATTTGGACACTGTGAGGATGCTGGCATTTAGAATGGGGCAGGAAGTTTTTGGCAGCAAACTTAGTTATCAGAGAACTGTTGAGTGTGGTTTGATGTTTTTGTTTTGGTGATGTTGTTTTGTTTGATGACCTAGAGCTCTGACAGCAACTGGTAAAAATTTTCTAGGGTAATTGAATTCAGTTGAGTTAGATTTTAAAAAGCAGAGTTTTTTAATAAAGAGGGTGATTGTGTTAGGTTTCCCTTCCTTAATTTGGCCTGGTTTGCTATCTTCGTGTTCTGCTTCTATTGCATAAATTTGTAAACGTGGCTTTTTGAAAATAGGCTACTGTGAGTGGTCTCAAGAATGGAAGAGATGGCCTATTTCCCAAAATAAAATATCAGAATTATACATTAATCACTCTTAGAGAGATAAATGGCTCTGCAGGAGCATGTGGTGGACAAAATGCAGAGCTGCCAATGAGAGCTTGGGGAATCATCCCAGATACAGCTGCATCAACAACTCTGGACCTTCTGGAGAAGAAATTGTTTATGCAGTCCAGGACAGACTTCATTTAAGTCACCTTGGGTTGCCCCTTCCACTGGATGGGATCCCATACTTGTGCATGATAGAAGGTCCTGACTGTACCCTGCTCTGCAATTCATTTCTCTTTCTGTCCATGATATTTTTACTATTTCTTGATTATACCCTTCCATTTTTTCCCCACTAACCTTTTCATTTATTAACCTACTTGATCTGTAATATGTAACACCCCAAAGACTTAGGATGAATGCTTTACTGATGCAGTGGGGGAAAAAAAAGGTGACCCCTTACTGGTTTTTATTCTCTTGGTATAGTTGGATAGAAGAACATTGGTTTTAATTTACTCAGTTTTCCTTATTGTTCTGCCTCTGAGAGTCACTGTATCCATAGCTATGCTTTGTGATGGTTTGTGTTATCAATCCTCATTCATTGATGATACACTGATTACATCAACCCAGGCCTCTAAAAAAGAAAAGCATTTGATAGCCCAGTTTAAAACTGGAGGCTTGGATAGAGGGCAATTTTGCATAGTCTGAGTTAGTCTGAGAAAGGAAATGAGCTTTTCACTGTCAGCTCTGTGTAGTATTCATCCCCCAGCAGTTCAGGGAGGTCAGGTTAAATCCTTTCTTCCTTGTGTGTTATTCTTTAAATAAAATCCCTAGCAGCAGGCAGATAATGAAATCAGTGCTGATGCATGAAGCATTTTGAGGAAGATGATTAGGAAGTTGAAAGGCAGACAGATTTCTCTTTTTTCTTTTCTCCCTTCATGCTTTCTCTCAACATAGGGAGAATATAAAACAAAATAAAGCAATAATAGCCCCAGACAAACTGCAGAGAAATAAGGGAGATGTCACTGTGGTGAGGGAGTGTGTGGTCCCAGGGTGTTTATTCAGACTCTGCAATTTACTGCACAGGGGAAGAGAGGGATGGAGACTTCCACTTTCAGTTATGCCAGTGATCTCAGGTCTGTGTGTTTGGACTGTGCTTTCCCCTCTGTCAGTAGCTGTAAGTACATGAGACATACTGGTAGCTGGCCCAGATCAAGCCCAGGGTCTGGCTTTTGTGGGCTAACAGAATTTGCTGTTTTCATTGTGTGAGCTGTTCAGCATGTGTGTGGGAAGGGGCGGGATCAAGCTTGCCTTCTGGCTGCTGCAGTCTCTTTCCTTTTTTGTTTTTCTTTCCAGCTGTACCTTTGTTTTAACTCGTGTGTTCACTTAATTACCCATTTCTCTGCTCTCCTTAAATATTTTCTACACAGAATCCACCATCCTTTATAGCCCTGTCTTTTGAAGTGTTCCACACTGAAATATTTAATGCCGACATTTAGATTGTGTGTCCACACACAGATGCTGCATTTGGGACTGGTCATTTTCTTCTTTGAGTTATTCCAGTAGTTTCAGAAGACTGGTATTTCTTTACTGGAAACATTTGTTTTTAGAATTTTAAGGGTCAAACTTTCCTTTTAATTAAGATTTCCTTCTCAGACACCAGTCTTTCTCTAGATTCTCGTATGGCTGCTTACACTCCTCTGTGGTAACCTCCTGCTGATCAGGCAGGTATGTCTTTGACACAGCTGTGTCTGAAGGGAAATTTCCAGCTGCTCTGCTTTGTTTCAAATTCACCTGAAGCTAAGTTCTGATGCCCTGTTCATGTGTTAGATTATTTATTTATTTTTATATTTTAATATCCTTAAATGCAGCTAAGTAATCAGCTGAAAGAGATTTTGCTCTATCTTCTTCTTTTCCTAATCCTATTGAAGCCTTTATTACCTTGTTAATTACTAATGTCCATTTATTACTATTCTAAGTCTGTCATTTCAGGGCTTTCTCCTTATTTATTTACAAGCATTAATTTAACAATATTACATGCTGGGGGGATTTGTAGGCCCTTGAAAATGATGGATGTGGGATTGTTTTAAGGATAGGCTGTGAATGCCACGGTATGTTCTCAGGCCTAGACATTTCCAGGAACCATAGTCTGAATATACAGGTTTCTGGTCTAGGCAAGTATATTTGTAAGACTTCATGGAACTGCTTTGCTGACTGTTGTGGGGTTTATCCAAAGTTCTGATCAGAAATAGTGGAAAAAGCCCTTTCCCATCCCATATTCTCTCCAGCAAAGAGTGGGAGATTCCCGGGGGCAAGCAAAAGATGAGCCACTTCAGTCTGTAAACACTATGGGATCCTCAGTGCCTTCTGCAAAGCATTTCCTTGCCAAGGCAAGCTCAGAATCCTTCCTAGTCATTAGTTGTTTTGACCTTGCTGTAGTTCCTCACCATGAAGCAGGGAATGTCTTAGCTAGTTATTGGCATCTTTCCTCACTTGCTAATTTGTTAAATCTGACTTCAGTGTTAATTTGTTGTTTTGTGGTATTCTCTCTCAACACATTTGATTCCTCCCTACACATCCTTTAAGGGACTGAAATACGTTGCACAGTCAAAAAGATGGGGTTGGCCATTAACTGCCAGTGTTAGCTCTTCCATGCAAGCGATTATTCCCAGGGCTTCAAAGAGGTGTTGGTACATTCTTGAGCCAAAGGGCAAAATAGCCTTTTATGAAATGAATTCACAGGCTTATCTGTACTTTCCAGATGATTGGACTGCCTTGTACTTAATATGTTGGAGGAAGTAGACTTTCTCAGTGTGCCATATCTGATCTGAGAAGCTCCCAAAATATTTTCTAGCATAAGCATGTGTAGAGAACAGGGTCAAGGCAGTGAGGAAACAGCAGCACAAGAGTTGCTCCAGAAGAGCAAATACAGACAAACAGAAAGGATGAAAACACAGCATGAATGGTCTAGGTGGGGCCTCACATCTGCCCTTTTCTGGATGTGAAAGAGCAGCTGTTTGTAAGAAGGCAGCTCTCTGCCTGTAGCCATGTAGCACAGCTTCCAAGAAAGGCTAAAGTGAGAGGAACCCATTAGTTTGGGTTGAATCTTCTCTGAGTAGGAATATGTTGTGGTGCTTTGCATGCCAATCAAGTCTTCTGCCAGTTAGAAAATTGCTCACTAAGGTCTTGTTTTCTCTTTGGCATTTTTTCTCTCCACGATTTCCTCTCTAAGGCTCTTAAAATTGAGATATGAGACACACAGGACTGATAATGCTTGTTAGTCAGGAACATCTCTGCGCTTTTTTTAAGTAGAAGCCCCTCTTTTTGCCCAGCCACAGTGGGGACATTATGTCATCTCAAAAATGGAGGTAAAGTTTAATGTGAGAGACTGCTGTGAGCACCTGTTTCATGTCTGGTAATTGCAGATGAAAAGTGCTGGGAGCCAGAACAGATTGTGATGGAAAAACAGGACAACTCTATCACTTTTGAAATTGTGACGAATGTAATACTTGGGTTGTTTCACACTGTAGTACCTTTGCAACTCAGGTAGAATCATAGAATTGTTTCAGGTTGGAAAAGACCTTTAAGATCATGTAATCCAACCACTAACCCAGCACTACCAGTATCTGCAATCCAGTTTGGTCAGGCCACTGAGGTCATACCTCAGTTGCTGAATGCTCCTCCTTGCCACCCCAATCCAAATGGCCTTCTGTTACCTGGTGACGCTCTCAGGGACTAACCTACTCAAGGAGGTTCCACAAAGGACTTGCAATAGAAAGACACAAAAGGGTGCAGTTGGTTTTAGGTGCCCTAAAGTGTTTTAATTCCGAGCCATTGATGTCAGGGTTTATTCAGTTTGTTCTGGTTTCCATAACTAGTAGCAAAACCACTGGCAGATACCAAATGCTTTGTCTTTTTTTAGCGCTGCTGGCAGTGGCATTAAAAGCCTCTTGTCAATGTCTGTGTTTGATATTTTTTAAATGCTGAGTACTGTCTGTGCTAGGTGCTACCACAGTAAATCCCCCTAATCTCTTACATTAATATAAAGTGTTGTGAGGACTTGAGAAATACTTTATCATGGCCTTGGCATAATGTTGCTTCACTTCTGAAATGCAGTGAGCTTTGGGGTAGAAGGTCTCCATCCTGCTAGTGTTGTGTTGCACACAGTAGTGGGAATGTGAAACTCCAGCTAAGGAGGATCACGAAGGCAAGACCTTAATTTGAAGTCATCAGGTCTTTGGAAATGAGGCAGGGATGTTGGTTTTCATGGTCTCATTACAGACACCTACTCATGACTAATGGCTTGAAACAGATTTTATCGTTTAAATAGAGCAGAGCTGCACCAGGTGAAATTGGAAAGAATCTATATAAAAAGTCTTCTGGAATTG